ATTTCTACATCTTGTATGGGCACTACGGACGTCATTTCCACATCCATGTCTGTCTTGCTGCTCAGATCCGGCCAGGTGGATGACTCACTGTCGCTGTGCGTGGCCTCGCGCACCAGGCGAGACTCGCCAGAGACGTTTGTCTGCTTCCGTGAGGCCTTCTCTGGGCTGGGAGCTGTGGTGGCAGCGGCCAAAGGAGTTTGTATGATACTTCTGGCGGCCAAAGTGCGTAGACGACGTTCGCGCATCTGTTGATGAGATGAGTCATGCTACCTGTTTAGAGTCTGTTTTTAGTAAAGGATTCAAACGGTACTTGCCTCCTCTGCTGATAGCGTTATAGGTATTGGGGGTGTTTGTGCCTGCTCTTCTGGCGGCTGATCTTCTGGATGCTGCTCTTGTTTGGGCAGCAAGGGCGGCTGTTCCTGCACCAGCGGCAGCGGCTGCGGTTCTTCATCGTCCTCCTCTTCCTCCATGGGCTTCTGGCGCGGTTCTTCTTCCGGCATCTCTCCTTCCTTCCAACACGATGCGCAGTTGTTGCTCGAGGAAATTTGTTTTTCCAATCTGTTTCTGTTTGTTTGTTGCGTAGTTTTTCCTCCGCCCTCCTGCCAAATGAGTTATCATGTGGGTTAATGAACCAAACAACACAAGAAAGCGGGACGAACAAAAAGAGAACAGCAGCTGGCGAGAGAGTGGGCGATGCGTTTCTTTCCTCCCTCTCTCTCTCTCTCTATGACGGGGACAGTCGTTGCCTCGCCACGCGCATTTAACAAATAAATAAAGAGTCCAGAAGCAGCAGCAGCAGCAAGCAGGCAGCGGTCAACGTCAAGTTCAAGACGAGACAATGCCGCCGCCGCATACCGCAGATGGATTGGATTGTATAGATGGATTGGGATTGGGCCCAGCCATTGTTTCTTTGTCAGCTACTACGCACTTTGATGATGTGTGGGAGGATAGAAGGATGGATGCTCATGCGGATGGCAACGTGACATACAGAGGAATGTAGGGATAACCTGACCTGCCACAAACATATAGCCGTGGCAGTGACAGCCACTCAGGTGCGGAGTGCGCACAGATATGCGCTGAGCTGCTGTTGCTGTGGCAGCATCTATTTATAGACTGCAGCCAGGCAGGGGTCGGGGGGAGGTAGGGAGCGGGGAGGGGGCAGTGTGTGTGTGTGTGTGGATAGGGGATACAGCAAATTGCAGTAAACAATATCATAGCATATGCGAATCGGATGAATATACACCCTTATATAAGTGATAGTGCAAAGATAAGCATAGACTTCCAATGAACCAGCAAATAGGTCGGGGAGTATCCGAAAAGTTATCTGCGCATTTTCCTATAGAATAGGCATGTACATACGCACATCCCATTGGGGATAGATAGGGATAGGGGTGGAGATGGAGATGGTGGTGCCACTTACCTGTCTCGAAATCAGACTTTCACCTGCTGCTGCCTGGCTGCGTGCCTGCCACGAATTCGAATTCGAAACAAATTGTTTATATCTGAATCTGTTTAGATGTGCATTTTATTGCTGCTGTTCGGGTGCCCGGACTCTGCTGGGGCTGTGTCGCGCGCTGCTGCCTCTAATGCAGATTTTCGACAACGACGACAGACGACCAACAACGACAACGGCGACGATGACGGGTGACCACGCAAAAAAAATTTCTCTTTTGTTCTGCTTTGATGCAAGGTTATCGGAGTGTCTTGCGCCTGCTATCTATAATGCCTTTGCGTTGCAATTATCAGATCCAATACGTATTCGACGAACAAATGTGAAAATTTTATTTTCGTGATAAATAACAAGTTGAAAACAAATTGACTTATCGATAAAATATACCGTCCGACCCTCAAAAATATACCAAAATATACCGTCTCATTTGAAAAATATTCCGCAAATATACTGACGAATTCAAGTTATACTTTACATATTCCTCGTTTTTGATATTCCGTGGAATATTAATAGCTATATTTATCCGATTAGTGCATATATTTTCTAATTGACGGGTTATATTAAACACTTGCTTTTATTGGATTTCTATACACCGTTGAAAATGAAATTTAATAATGTGAGTAGACGTCTGCAGGCGTCAATCGCGAATTTATCGTTAAAATATTAGAGCTGTCAATCGATACTATCGATAGTAACGGGTAGTATAACTAAGATTAGAAAAGTGTTTTAAAGGCTATTTTTCAAGCAAAATTATATAAAAAATGTTCAAAAATTAAACATTTTATTTATTCTCTTTCTTTTCAAAACTCTAAGATGTGATTTTCGTCCCGTGCTGTGTGACCGCTCCCTCCGAAATATATACCGAAATATACCGTAAGTATATTGATAAAAAACGAACTTAGTCCACTTAAGCCCACTCTATTTAAACAGTTCAACGATTTAAGGTAAATGGCGGAAAATATCAGTGATTGTAAATTCTTCTTGCAGATCCATGCACATTTTTCCTCTAGCCTTAAAATAAATAGCGATATCTTTCACCTGAGCTGCGCTACAATAATAATAATTCAATTTTCTTTATTTTCAGTGGTTTAAGTATTATATATTATAATATTGCCGGATCGATACTATATCCACGATCGCGTGCATCGCGCCAGAAGCTGGTACTTTATTTATTTACCTGCAAATTTTACAACGTACGACGTGCGTGCTTCTCAGGTGCGCACATTTCCGCGTCGTCTTTTTTCCTTCACCATGTTTTACCTCATCGGTTTAGACCGGGTAAGTTTTCCTAAATCATCTTTTCAATCGACTATTTTTTCTTAGTTCTTCTTCTTTAATTTTTTATTCCCTCCAGCTCTATTGGCAGAGACCCTCTTTGGACACAATCTTAGCAGTGCCGCAGGGGATCGGGGGATCTGATCCCGCCAGGTAAATTTATTAAGTTATTATTTATTCATTTACTTTATTTAACTCTTCCTTTCATTTTAGCGGGTCACTTCCTTCGGTAGCCAGGAATAACTAGTGCGTGCCCGCAGATAACGATATGCCCACCAATGTTTACCAGGGGTTTCACCTTTCTGGTCTTCCGATTCATATGAGAGAGTGGGCCTCGATACCATGCGCCCCTCGCATGGCCTTTGGGCTGGATGACCTTTGGGTGCGGCCACTGCCATGGCCTTCTCTCCGCCTTTCCGCCGTAGCTCCACGTCCTTTCGGGAGTTCCAAGGGATGTGCTCCTGGCTGGATTGTGGCAGCCATGAAGCCGCTGCTGTGTCGCTGAGTCGACAATGTGGCGTCCCGTCCACTGCCGCAGGTACCAGAGATCGACGGGAACCACGGAAAATAATGTCACCAACATGCGTCGCCGAATCCAGCGCTGGGCTTCAGCTTCGATACGTGTAAGTGAATCAGGATATAATTGCTGATATATTATAAAATATATCTTCATTCACAGATGACTTATGTACCCTACGCTTTGGCTAAAACCGAGTCGTATCCGATTTCCCACCGCCAGACGGAGCCCTGTCCAGCATTACCGAGGCGTATTAGAGACGGTCCGAGTCCCATCCCAGCCAGACAGAATCGTATCCAGCAGGATAGAATCGCATAGAAGTCATCGTCATCCTTTGAAATGGCCACCGAGGACTTTCACTATGGCAACTAAGGGAGCGGCTACGCGGGATACTAGATTCTAGATAGATCTCATCATTGTTAGATTTAAGGATATGCGAGTCTATAGCAGATATACATATACATATGATGTATAGATATAGATATAGATATATATATAGATATAAATGTTGTCCACTTGTTTATTTATTTATACTAAGTTAAGTTATGGTTAATAAAATTTTTGAATAATCATCCTTGCTGTATCCTGTTTTGGAGAAATTATCCCGATTACAAAAAGGCGTGGGACGCTCAGATCGGTTCACAAATAGCGGAGAAAACTAAATTTTTTGATTGGGGAAAATGTCCTTGATCCTTGATAAGGACTCTACCAAATCAGGGACATTTTTCCGATCATAGGAAGCCGTCTCATGCTCCGATCGGGTCCCAAATAGCCGAGAAAACTTAATATGTATGATTGGGGTCGTTGGAGTCCTTGCCGAAGGATCAAGGATATTTTTCTGATCTCGATGGGCCACGACACGCCCCGACCAGGCCACAAATAAGGGAGAAAACCAGATATATGTATATGTCTGCAGAAAATATCCTTAGTCCTTGGTCCTTGATAAGGACTCCATCAAAACAGGGACATTTTTCCGAACACAGGAAGCCGTCGCATGTCCTGATCGGGCCACAAAAAAGGGAGAAAACAAGATAAATATGTTTGGAGTAGATGTCCTTGACCCTTGGTCCTTGATAGGGACTTCAACAAATCAGGGACATTTTTCCGATCACAGGAAGCCGTCGCATGTCCCGATCGGTCCTCAAATAACGGGAAAACCACACACAAAAAAACTCCCGTCAAATGGCCAAAATCTGGATGGGATACCAGGCGAACATAAATCAGCAGAAGGTAACTGAATTTTTTTGAAAAATTTATGGTCCCCCAAAAGTATGCACCACATTTTTTTGCACTTGCTACAGTTGCTTGCTGCTGATTTCTGTTCCCCTGGTATCCCATCCAGATTTTGGCCATTTGACGGGAGTTTTTTTGTTATGTACGGTGGCGCCCCTATCGGTGATTTCTTGAACTACATTTTCAAAAATAGCAAATACAAACCCGTTATGTTTTTTCCGTTATTTGAGGCCCGATCGGGACATGCGACGGCTTCCTGTGATCGACAAAATGTCCCTGATTTGGTAGAGTCCTTATCAAGGATCAAGGACATTTTCCCCAATCAAATAATTTAGTTTTCTCCGCTATTTGTGAACCGATCTGAGCGTCACACGCCTTTTTGTAATCGGGATAATTTCTCCAAAACAGGATACAGCAAGGATGATTATTCAAAAATTTTATTAACCATAACTTAACTTAATAAACAAGTGGACAACATTTATATCAATATATATATCTATATCTATACATCATATGTATATGTATATCTGCTATAGACTCGCATATCCTTAAATCTAACAATGATGAGATCTATCTAGAATCTAGTATCCCGCGTAGCCGCTCCCTTAGTTGCCATAGTGAAAGTCCTCGGTGGCCATTTCAAAGGATGACGATGACTTCTATGCGATTCTATCCTGCTGGATACGATTCTGTCTGGCTGGGATGGGACTCGGTCCGTCTCTAATACGCCTCGGTAATGCTGGACAGGGCTCCGTCTGGCGGTGGGAAATCGGATACGACTCGGTTTCAGCCAAAGCGTAGGGTACATAAGTCATCTGTGAATGAAGATATATTTTATAATATATCAGCAATTATATCCTGATTCACTTACACGTATCGAAGCTGAAGCCCAGCCCTGGATTCGGCGACGCATGTTGGCGACATTATTTTCCGTGGTTCCCGTCGATCTCTGGTACCTGCGGCAGTGGACGGGACGCCACATTGTCGACACAGCAGCGGCTTCATGGCTGCCACAATCCAGCCAGGAGCACATCCCTTGGAACTCCCGAAAGGACGTGGAGCTACGGCGGAAAGGCGGAGAGAAGGCCATGGCAGTGGCCGCACCCAAAGGTCATCCAGCCCAAAGGCCATGCGAGGGGCGCATGGTATCGAGGCCCACTCTCTCATATGAATCGGAAGACCAGAAAGGTGAAACCCCTGGTAAACATTGGTGGGCATATCGTTATCTGCGGGCACGCACTAGTTATTTCTGGCTACCGAAGGTAGTGACCCGCTAAAATGAAAGGAAGAGTTAAATAAAGTAAATGAATAAATAATAACTTAATAAATTTACCTGGCGGGATCAGATCCCCCGATCCCCTGCGGCTCGGGACTCGGAAAAGTGAAGGTTAAAGCCACGGGCCGCTTATCCGGGGAATTATATCATGAAACATGCTCTCAGAAGGAATAAACAATTCGTAATCAATCATCGCTTTTTAATTTACTTTTAACAGGGTTCCCAGTTATGCGGCTCTGTCGTTCAGCCACCGCGGTTTCATCCATAGCGTATAGCATTATATAAATAGATGTATGTATCACATCCTGGACTGAATCCCAGGGTCCTCGTGTTTGGTGTTCGGTACTGTCGATACTATCGACTGGATAGAAGGACTGTTCGCCTAAGTTTGAAAGTGAATGAGTGACAAAGATATGAACGCAATCCAGTGGAATAAATGACGCAGGGAAGCACAATTTGATAGAGCGAAAATTCAAAAAACCTGAGTATTGAAGTACAAATTATAGCATATCGTCACACTCGACTAACTAGCTAAAATCTATCCAACAGCCAATTATTTTTCATTTAAATAATTTTAAAATTTAAAAGTAAGATACAATTTAGCCCTTAATTTGCAAATTTGTGGAGAAAAGACAGTCAGGCCTCACGATCGAAAGCGTTTTTACTTTTTGGAAAGTAAGCTGAATGATATATAACTTCCAGCAAATTGCTATGAAATTTTATAAAGCAGCCAGCCCTAATACCAGTTAGAATTAATAATTTTAGAACCAACAATTTTATAGTCTCCAAGCAGCCAGCATTAATAGTTTTATTTTAGCCAGCTTACAGGGATTGGCATTTTTGGTCTAGTCAAAATAATAAGAGCACTGGTGTTGTTTATAAATTTAAAAGGACTTGATCAGGATTTAGTCAAGGGTATGTTGGTTTTAATTGAACCCTTTCTATAGTAGGTAACCTACTACTAGGTCAGAAAACTAAAATTTAATTGGATTGTTTTTATTACAAAAGTTTTACGAGACGTGAGCGAAAGCTCATAAGCGCGTACTAGTTATTTTGACCAGTACTGTACATACATATATATATTCTACATCAGCATCAATAGCCGAGTCGATATAGCCATGTTCGTCTTTTTGGTCTCTTAGTTCTCAGAGATAATAAGAGCTAGAGGCATGTATCCAGACTTATATGATATTACACTGAATCACTCACGCGTACCGCAGTAAAAAAAGAAACTACGACCACTAGATGATTTAATATAATGATCTAATTCCTTAGATGCATTATTGGTTTTTGTTCAACAAAGGAAAATCAGTAACTGCATATTACAAAAATTTTACATTTAAGTGGAACTTACTTCAAAACTTAAAACCTAAGCAGCCACTACTAGAAATCCGTATAACGCTGTCGCATGGTCTGTCGCTTGGCAACGTGATGCATCTGCAATACAATATGGTATGCATTAAAATTAATAATAACACTTATTAAAAATGAAGACGAGACCAACCAGACGCTGTTGACGCCTCTCGCGATTCTTCTCGTATTCCTTGAGGAGCGTGGGGCACATGCGTCGAATGAACTCTTCAGATTCCCAAAAGAGACCGCCCTGATTCTCATAGCGCAACAGATATTCCACCTGCAAATCAAGTGAAGATGTTAACCATATACAATAATGATGTGGAATAATCTTATTGACTTGCCTTTCCCGCCTTCGTTTCGCGTCCTAGCACACGCTCTATGCCGTTTTCTGGCTCAATTTTCCTATAGAAATCTACATCGTTGTCGTACGGCTCCTTCGGCACCACCGGCGGCATATCATCGACTGTATCGAAGCCATCGTTCAGCGTATCCCCGTTTTGTTCGGCCCGACGAACAAACGTGAGTGGATGCTCCTTAAGGTAGTCCTCCGCCTCGGCAATTGTCTTGGCCATATCAAACTCTTCTTCCGCCTCTTCATCACCATCTTCACACTCGTCGTCTTCATCGAGGTCCATGCCATCACAGTTTTCACTAGAGTCCGCGTCGGAGGACTGGGGTGAACGCTTTTTCTTTGCCCAAGTGCCGCCGTCATTCTCTTTGACATCGGGATGGAAGCGAACTTTTTTTACACGCCGCTCGGACAAATCATCAGCTGAATTGTGAGACTCTGTGTCGGCTCCGGTATCACCCAGGCTGCTACTACTGTCGCCAGCTGCAGCACTGGCGGCGTCGCTTGTTGCCGCATCGTTTGTGGCTGTGTCGATGGTGGCTGGGTCGCTTGTTGCCACTGGCTCGGCCAGTGTGGTCTCCTTGAGGTTCTGTGAGATTTGTTTGACTTTCGTCTCGAAGGCAGTGCACGATACTATTGAGGAGGGGGACGTGTTGCTGCTGCAGTTGCTGCTGGCCCCCGTCTGTGACGAGCTGTCGCCCTCACCCATACTGGGCACCGCATCAGTCTTTTGTTCAGCCTGCTGCTCTCGCTGCATCACTCCTGTTGGCGACGGCGACGTCGACCTGTCGCCCATATCCCGTGCAGCGGAATCCCGGCTGCAGTTGTCCGACTCCTCGCCAACTGTCGGCCCAGTCGCCATCGCATCGCTTGTCTCGACCATCACGCACTTAATTTGCATAGATTTGTCCAGCGAATCACTGCCAGCTGAATCATCGTTGGACTTGGTATCCATGTGTGTGGCAGGTGGGGATGTCTTCGAGTAGTTTCAATTATACCGGATAACGATTCGTGTGTGATGCTACAGTAGAATTAGGTGAAAATGCATCGCAATTCACAATTGTAATCTTTCATCAAAATATTGCTGGATCGTTCCGAACGGACAAAAAGAACTACTATTCACTGAAGTGAACGAACTGAGTAGTTCACCTTAGCCCACTTAAGCCACCTCCTATTTACACAGATGAACAGCTTGAGTAAAACTGCGGAAAATCATACTGTTAGTGAATTCACCTTATAGATCTTTCCTTCCTCTTTACTAACAAATATTATGACTGGGAAATCTTTCACCCAGAACTGCGCTAAAATGAATCAAATTTCATAATATCCGCTGGTCCAAAATGGGTTAATCGTTCGTTTTTGTTCATGATCGGATATTATATTTTTTCAATTTTGATATTCGGCCTAGTATTACTAGCTAGCTAGGGCCGTCAATGTCGAAAAAATAATTTTATCCAATACAATAATATATTTTCTACGCGATTTTAAGCAGTTATATTTAGTTTAATCTTTATAAAACATGGTTTAAGCAAAAAATGCACACAAAATTGAATTTTGTTTGCTACATGGCAACTACATGGGGATGATTTTTGGTACATCGAAACTACACAGGGATGAAATTTTCGCGGGCGGCACCTGTCTAAACGAAAGTGCACACGGATAGCAACGTAACGTGTTGCGTATGTTGCGTAATTTTACTGGTTATTTGAACACATGTTGCTTGTCAATCGGCTTAAACTTGGCGTACGGATGTTTGTCCTATAACCGGTAAATTTTTTTATATATAAAAAATTAAAATAATTGTTTTATAAAGCTTTGATTATTTGCTTAGTTTTCAAAACATCTAATAATATATCCTTGATAATTTTCAAAAATTATAACAACTTTCACAGGATTTAGATATAAAGATTTTAATTCATTTAATATTTAAAACTAATTAATTTTGATTTACAGTATTGTTATTTGTAGGTTATATGGTTTGGTCCATTTCGAAACTAAACTTTTAAATTATATACATTTAATGCTCTAAAAGAAAAATGGTTTGTTTCTAAAATATTATGATTTTAAATATTTCAATTTCAATTAATTTAAAAGGGAAATCCCTATTCTAATTAATATTATGAGAGATAGAGAGCGATAAATTGTAAATGCAACTTGTGTATTTTTTTAATTTGATTTCTTTATTAACAAATTGTTGTTTTTTGTACATTTTTTCTCTTTTTGAAGTTGATGCCATAAATCTGTGTAGGTGTACGTGTATGTGTGTGTGTGTGTGTGCGCGTAGTAAACAAAACTAATTTAATTAAACTACCTTTTGTTTAAGTGTACTTTCATGTTAAGGACTATTTTATCATATTATCAAATATTTATGTATATTGTTGTGTATAGATATAGATATACCCTATATATAGATGTATACATATGTATATGCATATCAAAGGCGGTTGCAGTTTTATATTCAAGTGTAAGTTACTTCTGTATACTCTCTATTTTGTTTATATTTTCTGTTTGTTTTTGATTTGCTTCTGTTTAAATGTTGTTTCTCGTTAAACTATTTAAATATGGCCCCGCTATTCCACAAGTGTTCTTTTTGTTTGCTTAAAGTTTATGATAACATTTTTTTGTTTGCTTGTTTCTTACATTGTTTCTGGTCAAATAATAGGAGTTCTAATTCAAAATTATTATGATAATAAAAACAAAAAACTATTTTTAAAGTCTAGCGAACTAAATTCCTAAATGTAATCATTTTTTGCTGCTTGCTTGTACAAAATAATATTGCAAATATTGCAACAATTGTTCCTATTTTCTTCAATTTGATTTTTGAATTACATTTGCGTTTTCATTTGCATTTGCATCGTATTGTAGCAGCAGCAGTGTGTAAATATATGAATATATATATGTATAGGTTTTTAGAATTATATAGTATGTATATAGTACCATATTCATTGCATGATATACGCTCTCTCTGCCTTCCTGCATTTCTGCATTCCTGCACTACTCTTTTTGTTTTTGTTGTTTTTTACAATTATCAATAATCACAGTTCCCATTCAATAAAAAATTATATTAAACAAATGATGTTTTAGCAAGACTTAATTTTGAATATTTGTTTTCCAGTAATTCTATACAGATTTTTTGATTTCTTTGAAACGCTTTTGGATCTTGCTCTTTGTTGGGTTAGATATCTTATAAATATATCTCTAATCGTATTTGATTATAAACGTTTATAGGTGACTCCCTCTCTGTTCCTTTGATAATTTATATTACTCTTAAGTTATATTACACATTTTGCACCGTTCTAGAACATAATCATAATCATAGTCATAATCATAGAAATAATGAAAGACAGAAGTTCTTCCAGGCAGATTCATCCCCAAAGAAGTATTCGAAATTGTTGCTGTTGATAAATATGAATTTGTTGGTCTGCCCGAATCATAAACGGAGAAGTTCTTATAGTATACTCGTGTTCTATTAACTAGGGGTATATAGCTTATGATCTAAACCAAGTTTTAAGTGCAGGAACATGTTCC